GACGAGCCTGCACCACTCCCCTGCAACATATGTTGAAGAACATCAGCCAGTGCTGTCCCCGCCCAGGTGGCCAGCCTGCTTGGCTTTGCCGCTCAGTGATCTCATGCAAGTGACTACACTGCTCCACACCTCACCCTCCTTACCTGTGAAATGGGGGCGGTTAACACCTGTGTCCTCTGGTTAGGTGACAATGAACTGTGTTTGTCGCCTGGGAGTGCTCGGTCGATGTGGTCTGTGATTGCTATTATCATGGGGTAAACGTTGGGGGGCTGCAGTTCAGGTGCCCCTCACAAAGCCCCTGGGCAAGGCTTCAGGTGCCACAAGCAGCCACGCTGATGCTCGGGGAAGGCCGCAGCCAGGCACGTGGGGCTTGTTGATCAAATCCACGACAGGGAAGTGGGTGTTTGTGACTGTGATTCGTGGTGATGAGCTTTAAATAGAAAGCCACTCAGGTGAATAAAAATAAGTGGTTCTGTGTTTACTAGCCAGGTGGAGCCCTTCTGAGGTCAGCTACTGAAAGGAGGAGTGAGACCAGTGGAGAGAGAGAGAGAAACCCCTGGTGTGGGCATCCTCATGCGGCGGGCAACGCGGGCTGTTCCTCTGCTTTTGTCTCGTCCAGTCTGAAGTCGCTTAAGGGTAGCCTTAAGCTGAACTGTTCAGGATGCCGTTCCTGAGGTTGGATAAGCTCCCAGTGAATGGGAGGAGGCAGATCAGGCTCCAGGGGATACCCGATCCCAGACCCATATCCAGAGACAACTTCCAGTAGCTTTTCTGAAATTGTCATTGCCTACATAAGACCGGTAGGCTGGGTTATTTGTGCATCTGAAATACAGGAACTATGTGCCATTGCGATAAATAAGGTCACCCTAATGGCTTACATCTTTAAGCATGGTAGCCAGAAAGCAAGGACATGCCTAAAGGCTAATGGGATGACATTAAAAGAACATGGAGATGAAATGAAAGGGGTTCCCATTGGTCAAATTTCAAAAATAATGAGAACTGGGGATACAGCTCAGTGGTAGAACATTTACCGAGCATGTGCCAGCCACTGAGTCTGAGCCCCAGCACCACACAACAAACAAACAAATAAATAATAACAATCAATTATAACATTGTTTTTTTAAAAAAATTGTGGTAAAAAATGTGACATTTATCATTTTAAGCTTTTGTCGTTGTTGTTTTGGTGCTGGGGTTGAACTCCGAGCCTCGAGCATACTAAGCAAGCACCCTACCACTAAGCTACCTCCCTGTCACTTTTTACTTTGAGACAGGGTCACAATAAGTAGCCAAGGCTGGCCTTAAGTTTGTGATCCTCCGCCTCAACCTCCCGAGTGGGATTTAGGTGTGTGCCATTAGGCCTGGCTGTCTAACTGTTCTTAATTGTACAGTTCACTAGTGTTCAGTATATTCACATTGTTGTGAAAGAGAGCTCCAGAACGTTTCCACGTGGCAGAACTGAAAGCCTGCACTCTTCAGCCACTGTCCCGCCCGGCTCCCTTTCTGTCCAGGCGACCACTGTTCTGTTTTTTGTTTCTGTGAACTTCTATACGGCAGATGGCTCCAGTGCGTGGGGTCCTGCTGTCTGTCTTCTGCTGACTGCCCGTTGCACTTGGTGCCATGTCCTCCACATTTGTCCCCACTGTCTCTGGGGACGGATTTTCTTCATTTCTAAGGCTAATACTTCATTGTAGTTCTGTACAATGTTCATCTCTTATTGGGTATTTGATTGCTTCTGCCTCCTGCTTTCATTTCTTTTGAATATTCAAGAAATGAGATTGTGGGATTGCTGGATGACACAGTAAATCCCACTTCTAAGTTTTTGAGCAATCACATTCAGTTTTCCATAATGGTGAAACCATTTTGCAGTTCACCAACAGTGCACAAATGCTCCAATTTCTTTGCCAACTTCCCAACACTTATTATTTTCCATTTTTTTTGTTTGTTTTTTGTTTTGTGTTTTGGGACAGGGTCTTGCTATGTTGCCTACTCCTGGACTCCAGAGACCCTCCTGCCTCAGCCTCCTGAGCAGCTTAGACTAGAGGCACAGCCCCCCCCCCAGCCCAGCTTTGTTTTAATTTTTAAGTGGTAGCCATATGAACAGGTGTAAAGTAACATGTTGTGGAGAATTGATTTCCATTTCCTAGATGAGTGAAGTTAGCACATTTTCATATACTTGTTGGCCATTTGTATATGATCTTTGGAGAAATGTCTGTTGAGTTTTTTGTCCATTTTAAATTTGGGTTATCTGATTTTCTGTTGTTGAGTTGTAGCAGTTCTTTATATATCCTGAATATTAATCCTCATCACACGTAGGATTTAGAATTTTTTTTTATTTCATAGATTGCCTTTCATCCTATTGACTTTGTTTGATATAGTTCTGTTTGTCTAGTTTTACTTTTACTCCCTGAGCTTTTGATGTCACATCCAAGAAATCATCACCAAATTCAACACCACGAACCTTCCTCTATGTTTCTTCTAGGAGTTTTACAGTTCAGGGGCTTACATTGAGGTACGATGCTGATTTTGAAAACATTTCCATGAATCTATACTCATAACTGAAATCCTGCAAAGCTGGAGGGCACAGGAGTCCTTGGGTGTTCCTGAAGGTCAGCTCTCTGTGACAGAGACAGCATGGGGCAGAGTGGAGGTGAAGCTAGAGAGAGGGACGGAAGACACCTATGGTCCAGGCCGGAGCACTGAGCACCGGCTGGACCGCGAAGAGAACCCGAGGCCACTCAGAGTCACCAAGAAGTAAATGGATGCCCCGTGAAAAGACATTGGCTGAGTCATAAGTAGTTTTCCCATTAAGTCCATTTAATTAAGATCCTGTCTGGCCCAGTGAAAACCCACTCCTTGTCTTCAGCAATCCCCGGCGTGGTTCCTTGTACCTAGTGGGAATCAGGTGAAGCACGGTAGTGGTGGTGAGCTGGTGGTTGGAGGATTTGGTCACAGCTAAATAGATAGGCTGGCTTGCCATTGTGAAGTCTTAGAGTATTTAGATAAATGAAATGCATTAAGGAAGGATGCAGTGTTAGCAATCTCGGTGAATAAGAGGGAAACCTTTTGTAAAGAAAAGGAAGCTGGGGAAGAAGTCCTGAAAATTCCATGTGGATCCGTGCAGCTAAACCAGAGGACTGTTTAGGTGTAAAATGAAAATGGAAAAAAAGCATCCCTTCTGGACGAGATGAAGGGGACTGAGGAAGGATGACGTGGAGGGAGGGCGGGGCAGTGACCTTTCCCTCTCCCGACAGTGTCTCTTCAGAGAAGAAGCTTGCATTGACGGCCGTGATTCAGTCCTCCACTTGACATTTGGAGGTGGCCTGGGGTGGAGCTGAGGTGGTGGGTCTCCCTGCTGCATCCCCTGTGCCACGCTGCCTTGCCAGTGAAGAGCCATGGGCCTCCTTGGAGGAAGAAGCAGGGCTGGGCAGAACGGAGACCACCGTGTCCCACCCTCAGAGCTACCTGTCCACTCGGCAGACACGCGGGGCAAGGCAAGCCCACGGGCCAGTGTGTGGCCTGGCCACTGTGAGCCATGGAGCGGAACGGGAAAGCCAGCCACTGTGCACGATCAAGCCCTGAGCCACTCTCCTGGGGACACTCACTGACCTTCAGGGAGTCACTCGGAGAGGGCGCTGGAGGAACTCCCCACAGGTGGTGCTGTCAGGCCTGGCGGCCAGTCCTCCTGTGTGATTGGCCCCCTTCAGGGATATTTGAAACGTCATCTTTCAGGATCTACATCATCCTGCCGGAGGCCTCTGAGCTTTTAAGGAGCCTGTAAAGAAAATGTGGCTCCAGCATTTTTTAAAAAGAAAGAAAGCGAAGTCAATAAGCATTGAATTAAATGTTTAGAAAATGTAACTTTGTAGCCATTTTATTAACAATGTGACTTGGTGTCATCACATTTTAATGTATTTGAAAACTATTGTTGGTTCGATTTTCTCTCTTGATAAGAATACCTACCTGAATGATTGCTGAAAAGTCATAGCCAAAGTAAATGTGTTCCTCAGAGCTAAATCATTTCAAAAGCCAAATTATAAAGATCCTATGAATTTTTTTAATAGCAAAACTAATTGCACTTAATGTGAGCTGGAGGTGTAATTTATAATGCTTAGTATGAAGCTGGGAAAGGTTTCTCAAAGTAAGAGGAGAGGGAGCCTATGGGATCTTAAAATATCTACCACAAGGATGTTCTGCACAGTGTGGTTTATAATAGCTAATAATTGGAAACAAACTAAATTTACAAGACTTGGGGACTAGCTTAACAAACAATGTTACCACATAATGAATACTAGGTGGCTACTGAAAATGAGATCACTGAAGAATACATAATAATCTAGAAAAATGTTCAAGATGTATTAAAAAAACATTAGACCGTTTGTGCAATATGATTGCTTTTGTTTGTACAGGGGAAATAATATTCCTAGAAAAGAGGCTTACAGCATAGATATTATCATGGTAATGATGAGTGGTTATCTCTGGGTGGTAGAATTACAAGTGAGTCCCCTTTTCTTTTAAAAAAAGATCTCTGTGATTTCTACCATGAACACTTATTGTTTTTGGAAAGCAGATGTGTAAGTTTCATAATGATGGCTCTTGTCTGATAATATATAAATTTGAATCCAAAAACCTCTGTGTAGGCTTGGATAGAGTGGAAACTGCCGGAATTTGCTCCTTTCACATCTGAGGTTAAACCCCACTGAAACATTTAGATATAGATTTTGACTAAATCATAGCAATAAACTCTCATGTCACAATCAGTAGACAGAATAAGTTTCTTAAAAAATAATAAGATTTGAGGCTAGGGCCATAACTCAGCGGTAAAGCACTTCCCTTGCACATGTGAGGCACTGGATTCAATCCTCAGTAACACATAAAAATAAATAAATAAAAGTATTGTATCCATAATTTTTTTTTAAATAATGAAATTTTGCAGTTCACAATTATATCTTCTCCTTCACATTGGAATGAGAGCCTGCACTTCTCCTCATCTCTGTCCATAGCTCCAGGATCATCCACAGCTGCCCCTCTGCTCTGCTGTGAAGAGTTATTGGCCTGGGGAGATGCATCTATCACTCTGGGCAGGAAAAACAGATTACTTGGAACTCATGCACAGCGGGTTCCCATGTTGGTAAGATGGAATACACATATCTTACTCTGTATGTATGCACGGAACTTTCTGGAAGGATAAGCTTCAAATATTAACGGTGGTTATCCCTGGGTGATATCATTTTTTTGTGTGTGATTTAAAAAATACATAGTTTGGGCTGGGGATGTGGCTCAAGTGGTAGCGTGCTCGCCTGGCATGCGTGCGGCCTGGGTTCCATCCTCAGCACCACATACCAACAAAGATGTTGTGTCCGCCAAATACTGAAAAATAAATATTAAAAAAAAAATACAGAGTTTGAAGATCTTACGAGATGAAGTACCATTTTTACAAAACCTACCTGAGACTCTCACCTGGCTCAACTCCTTCTTTGACTAAGAGCACTGATAGGAAAGGGCACATTCAATAAGGTCTCGACAGTCGATTCTGAAAGGCCGTGGGTGGGAATGTGCAGGGTGGCCAGAGGAAGCGGGGCGTCTGAGGGACTGGCTGCACTCTGGTGTGCGTGAGGGTGTGCGTGTGTGCGTGGCCTTGGGGTAGAAGGGACCACAAGGATTCCTTGATTTTACTCCACCCGAGGGCTCCGGATGCAGCGCTGCTCAGTTCCACCACAGGGGAGCCCATGGGCATCGTCCCCAGGCAAGATTCCTAAACATCCCCAAAGGCCCACCATCTTGGAGGAAGCAGTGCACATAGAAGACTCTGTCCTGGAGCACTGTGACTGTGCCTAATGTCAAAGGGCTGTGGCAGGTACCATGGAAGGCGACTGGCTGGAGGATCTGGGGTGAGAGAGGCTTCTGCCCCAGGCCTGCCCCTGCTGCCCGGGGCCTTCTTACCATTCCAGACGTGCAGAGTGGTTGCCCAGTTTTCATGATCATAAAGGACTTCTCCCACCTGCCAGCAGACTGTGTCCAGCTGTCAGCTTCTCCAGAGTCTCCTTAGCTGCAGAGTCACACCCACCTAAGATGTCCTATGTCCAGCGACTGACAGAGGCAGAATAAAGGCCTGGGCAGTGTGGCTTGCTGTGTCCCTTCAGAGTTTCCCATGGTTGGCTGAGGCCATCGCTGGACTGAATCATGGATGGGCTTCTGATCCCTCCTGTTCCTGTCCCTTGTATCCCCTTCGCTCTGTCCCTTGGTAGGCCATCCCCTAATAAACAGGCTTCTGCTTGTTGGGGAACCCAACTTGGGACAGTGAAGTTCCTTAAGTTGCTCTGAATTTCCATTTTTTTTTCATCTGTAGAAACTGGGTGATAACACAGTGCTGGTCACACAGGGTGGAGAATGATAATGACATCCTGCATGCCAGACATCTCCCCAAGTACCTGACACACACCCAGTTTCACCACGTAATTGTTGCCTTGCAGAAATGCACGTTTGCAGGTCTTCCGTGTAGACTGCTCTTGTACCAAAGACAGTTTAGTAAAAATATTTTTTAGTAATACCAACACAATTAAGAAAAAAAAAGCTTCACATAATGGTTATGCTCCATGTTTTAATAAATAATTTTGGAATAAAATCTGCAGCAAGTTTGTGGAAAAATATGATGATCATGACTCAATAAGTGAAAACTACTATTATTCTTACTAGGAAAGAAACACCTTGCCCACGGCCACACACCATCATCCCTGAACTGTTTATCCAGTAGATCAGCCTTAAAGAGAAGGGACCGGAGACACATGTGTAGAGTGAGTATACCAGCCTGTGTACTGGGGGTTCTGTATCTATGGACTCAACCAACCAAAGTTGGAAAATATTTTTTAAAAATATTGTGTGTGAGCCAGGCCCAATGAAGCACACCTGTAAACCCAACCACTGGGGAGGCTGAGGCAGGAGGATTGCAAGTTAGAGTCCAGCCTGGACCCTGTATCAAAATAAAAAATAAAAAGGACTGGGGTGTAGCTCAGGGAAGAGCACCCTGGGTTCAATCCCCAGTATTACCAAAAAAAAAAAAAAAAAAAAAAAAAAAAAAAAAAAAAGAAAGAGAAAGACTTTTTTCTTGTTTTTATTCCCTAAACAATGCAGTATGCCACCTACTTAGGTAGACCCTCCTTGCATTAGGTATTATTCACATTGGATGATAAGTCATCTGGAGAAGCTTTAAAGTGTGGGGGAGGATCACACGCCTCGAAAGGGACTTGAGCACTCTTGGGTTTGGTGCCTGTGGGGTCCTGGCATCAGTCCCCTGTTGGTCCCCAGGGATGACTGGTGGAGGGCAGGAGTGGGGAGGTCTGGAGCAAGTGGTGTCACAGCATAAGGCGCCTGAGGAAGGGCCCGCTTGGTGGAAGATCAGCCAGTCCACAGGCATCTGGTTTGTAAGTTTGGACAGCGGTGTGCTGCGGGCTGGCTCCAGGGACAGCCTAACCCAGGTGGGGCTGCGTCCTCGGTGTGTCTGGGCAGTCGAGGTGACCCACCGAGCTCCAGGCCTCCAGGGGCCGTGGCTGTTGGACGCGGAGGAGCGAGAAAGCGGAGCCGACCTCGGTGCGCTCTGGGGCTGACTTCCGCGCGCCCCGCCCAGGGCGTCTTGGGCGTCGGGCGCGCTCGGTCCTCCCCCAGGCCCGGTGCCGCCTGCGATCCTGCGTGCGCGGTGCTCGATTCTGAGCAGCAGAATGACGGATGACTTCATAGTGACTGGGACTTTTTGTTCCCTGGGTTGTTTTTGGTTCTGCCTTGGCTGCATTCTCCTCTAGAAATCTGTGTCCTGGGTATAGATTTGGCTTGAGGAGAGCTGTCCATCTGGATTAGTTTGATCGTCAAGTGCTGCCTCGTGTTTCCAGTTACGGTGGTCCCTGATGAAGAGCAGGCCGTGGGCATGCGGTTCCTGGCCCAGAGATGGTGCGGAGCCTCTGGGGCCTAACCCAGCACAGGAGGCGGCGGTCTGTGGAGTCATCTGGTGTTCTGAGACACTCTATTTGTCCCCAAGCTCTGGGAAGAGAAGCTTGGAGCAGCCTTGGGCTGCCAATCTCTTTGCACAGTGCCTATAAATTTCAGAAATCTTATTTTGAGGATATCATTTAGCTAACACATAATTTTTTCTGATGGTTTATTGACACTCAAAAATAATGTTTGCAACGCTCCAAGTTTGGACTAGTGTACGTTGATGGTATACCATCTGGCATCGTTAGGAAGTAAGGTAATATTCCTCTCCCTCACACACACAATAAAAATAACCCCATTAAATGGAAAAATCACTTTCAAGGGAAATCTTTCTAGTATATACATAACACATGCCTCCCCATCTTTAACAAATTCCTGTCATTATTGAATACTAAGTATCGACAGTCCTTTACAGACATTATTGCAATTGGTTCTTAGCAACTCTGAAAAATAGGTATCATCATCATAATTTAGCCAGTAAGAAATATGGAAAACTCAGAGGACTTATGTAACTTGGCCACAAACACAGTTTGGGTGAATGCAAGAAGTGGGAGTGGAATCCAGTTTTTCCAACTCCAAAGCCCACGATATTGCTACGGCACTGTGATGCCACTTGCATTTTACAAATTAGAGATAATCAAGTATATGTTTAACATTTCCTTGGTGAGTTAGTGACAGTCTTATGAGCCTCAGTGATAATACAGTATTTACAAGGGGGATCCTTGGTTGGAGTCACAGAAAACAAGCAATACCTAAGGAGGGAAAGGTGGAACAGCAGGCCTGGGGGATGGGACGGTAGGATGCAGCCCATCCTCAGGAAGGGGACGTATCATCCTTCATCTCTGCTCCGTACTTTAGGTTTCTATTTTCTTCTGGCTCTTCATGCAGACCAGTTTGAAGGCAGACGTTCCAGGACTGGTGCCAGGGCTCTACAATATCCCCAGAGACCTGGATTCCTAAGAGCTTCTGGCTTCTGTTTTTCCTTTTGTCCTCATTATCAGAAGACGGCTGCCATACACCCTGGCATCAAGTTATTATCCCATGGTAGAACATAGGGGAAAGGCGAAGGACAGTAGTGAAACTGCCTTTGTATTGGGGGAAATACAGAGTGAACAGTCACAGATCCTACTTCCTGCCCCACCCCCAGAACTTGTAATTGTTCCGGGGAGGTAAATATCAATCAGTTAATCACACAACTGAAGACTATTGTTAAAAGACAAGAGTGCACAGGAGCAATGAGTGCCTGTGTCTGAAAGACAACTGTCAGAATGCTCCCATGGCTTTATTCACGGTAGCCCAAGCCACAGACAACCAGATGTCCAAGGGGAGAATGGATGAGTGGCAGGGTATATTTTTATGCAATGGGAATCTGCTCCACAGGAACAAGGGCACAGCCACAGCAGCAGCGTGGCTCACTCGCACAGGTGTGGGGGCCACGGAAGGAGCCACAGTGGGCCACCGCTGCCTTGGTTTATAGGAGGTCCAGGAAGAGCATGGATCAGAGGCGCTGCAGGGGGTGTGGAATGCCGTGGGAGAGGCCGCTTCTTGGCAGGAATGGGGAGCCCACTGGGCTTTACACATGGAAAGCATCAAGGCAGACTCGCCGGGCACTTTCCTTACACTGTACTTCTTCCGTGTTTAAAAGCGTGTGTAGAAAACCAATCTGGGAAGCAATACGGAGATTCCTTGAAAAACTGGGAATGGAACCACCATTTGACCCAGCTATTCCTCTCCTCGATCTATACCCAAAGGACTTAAAAACAGCCTACTACAGGGACACAGCCACATCAATGTTCATAGCAGCTCAATTCACAACAGCTAAACTGTGGAGCCAACCTAGATGCCCTTCAGTGGATGATGGATAAAGAAATTGTGGTATAGATACACAATGGAATATGACTCAGCATTAGAAGAGAATAAAATCATGGCATTTGCAGGTAAATGGGTGGAGTTGGAGAGTATCATGCTAAGTGAAGTAAGCCAATTCCCCAAAACCTAAGGCCAAATGTTTTCTCTGATATTTGGATATTGATCCATAATGAGGGTGTGGGGGAGCATGGGGGGGAATAGAGGAAATTTGGATAGGGCAGAGGGGAGGAAAGGAAAGGGAGGGGCATGGGGGTAGGAAAGATGGTGAAATGAGATAGACATCATTACCCTGAGTACACGTATGAAGACACGGATGGTGTGATTCTACTTTGTGCACAACCAGAGAAATGAAAAATTGTGCTCTATATGTGTACTATGGAAATGCATTCTACTATCATGTGTAACAAATTAGAATAAATAAATAAGATTTTTAAAAAGGGCTGTGTAGATGTGACACCTAAAGGACATTTTCAACCTGTTCCAAAATAATGAAGTCAATAGCCTCTGAAGCCTGTAGCTAGGCTTGCAGTCTTTGCCGCCAACATATGGCCGTGGCAAGCAGCGGTCCTCAATTTCGGCTGGGCAATGCTGTTGCTTTCATATTCCTTTAATTCCAGTTTGATTTTTGACACAGGTTATCTGTTCATCTGGTTTAATACAAAGATTTAAAAAGGATCATAATGATGAAAAGTGGCCCTCTGACCCTTGCCCCTGCGCCACCCCAAATTCCCTGAGTGTCAAGGGAATCCCAAGTGCCAAGGCTCCCGGGCCCTAAAGACTTGTAATTCTCCCAGGGATATTTTACCTTATATAAGTAAGACAAATATATATTATCTTCCCCTACACACACAGTAGCATACTGATTTAAAGCAGCTTCACCTACGTAGCACCCTCTTGGAGATTTTTCCCATCAGTGTCCCACCAGCGTCCTCCATCTTTTTTAAGTTTGCATGACATTCCAAATGAGTGGGTTTGCAAGGACGTTTTTGTGGGCTTGTGTGGTGCTGAGGATTGCACTCAGGTCTTGCACATGCTAGGTAAGTGCCCTGCCCATGAACTACACCCTGAGCCTCTGGGTATTTTTTTTTTTTTTTAAAAACATCAGGCTCTGAGACTTCCTTGGACATCATGTCAGAGGTGAGACCTGGGGACAAAGTGCAGCTGGTGCAGGGACCCGGATGAAGCTTCTTGGTCTCTTTCTTCCTCAGCCTAGGGCAGGTTGAGGGTTTGTAAAGCTAAAGAAGCCCTTCCTTCTGAGAAACAAAAAGCAGTAGTAGTTAGAAGCTTATTTGCAAGAGACTCAATAACAGGAAATGGAGAAAAGCAGGCCTGAGCCCTGGGCTTGGGCGTGAGCCTGGGGAGGGGAGTGCCTGGCTCAGCCTCCAAGCCAGCAGGTCCCTCGGGAGTTCTCCCTTAGGCCGCGAGAACACCAGTGAGAGACTGTGAGGAGGATGAAACTCTT